CACACACACACACACACACACACACACACATACACACACACGCACACACACGTCCACACACAGATTTCGCTTCAGATTTATTGAGATGTGCCTGAGGTTACTTCCAGATGGAAAGACTCTATTAACCACATTACATGCTGCTTAATTGGCTTTGATGAATTTGACAGAAGCGCACATGTGACCGTGTTTGCTTCCGATTTCACAGAAAATGGGGAATGATGTTGCGGAGGACAGCAGAGTTGAAGAGTTCACCATCCGTGCACAGCACCGTCTTCCTGTTTCCAGCAGAGGTTGCATTTCCCAGATTTTTGTAAAACATGAAGAATGTAACCTCTCAGTTTGGCACAGCGAAGTTCACGCTCCTTGTATGCAGATAAATATTTCAAGAATTCCACCATGTGTTCACATATTGTCGTGTACTTAGTAAAGTAGGACACTCGGGGTCTCACCGTCACCACTGTGGCTGCCCAGAACGTTCCACTTCGGGGGAATATCTAAGTTGGCCATGGCCAGAGCCACTTTGTGATCCATGGCCCACCGAGAGCTGGCCTGCCCCAGGCTGAAGAGACCGCTGAGCTGCTGGTGATCTGAGCAGCTCAGACGGTGTCCGTGGATTATGATGTACTCAGCCAGATCCTGAGGAGAACCGAGTCACCGAAAACATAAATTCAGATGTCAGCAATAAAAAGCTTTAAAATTATTTTTTTATAGATATCACTGTCAACTGATAATGTTTACTCAGCATTCACTTTAACCTTTCATGTGTGGAAACGTTCAGCTCAGTCAGGAGATGGATGCTTTGACTTTTAGTTCTTGTAAACTTTACAATTTTCAAAAAAATTTACTYAATTTACCAAACATTTCCCATTTAAATACATAAAGATTTATTTAAAACAATTGTTCCATAATATCTGTTTGTATTACGCCAGCTTTATTTGTCTTACTTAATTTGTGCACTTTTAGTTTTTGGTTAGCCTTTTGCTAATTTGAGCTTCTGGCTAGACTTTTGCTACTTTTAAATTTTAGGTAGCACTTTTTTTGTTTCCTCCTTTTTTAGAGAGAGTTCAGATTTTTTTCTTTCTTTTTTCTCCTATTAGCTTTCTGCTAGTGTTCTGCTACTTTTAACTTTTAGCTAGTGTTCTCCTTTTAGCTTTCTGCTAATGTTCTTCTTTTAGCTTTTAGCTAATGTTTTGCTCCTTTTTCTTTCAACTAATGCTCTGCTTCATTTCCCTTCAGTTAATGATCTGCCTTTTTTAGCTTTGAACTCTGTTTCAGCTTGTTYTCTTTCAGGACTCAGCATTCACTCTGCATTTTCACAAAAAAAATGGATTGCTTTAAGCCATTTATATTTTCTATTCGGTAACAAACGTTTACTAATTTTCCTTCAAAATAACACTTTCTGCTAAAACTGTAACTCCTCTGTTATTGCTTTATTCTTAAATAAAACACAAATWTTTTGAAACGACAAAGTTTATCTTGCAAAACATTAAGGTTTTGTTAAGTTCTCATACACAGATGAATTGATTTGTCCTTACATATAAAAAAAGATACACAACTTTGTATAAAATAAAGAGATTTGCCTTCTTTACCTGAGCATCATCGTGTACATACTCTAATAAGGCCCCACCTATCCAGGTGAAAGGTGTGCTTTCAGAACACAGGTAGGCCTGAACGGAGACCTCCTCAGCCAGATTATGGCCTAAAGAACAAAGACAAGACTTTACTCAATACATATTTTCTTTTGTCTGATAAAAAAAATACTCACTGACCTAAAAAAAAAGCACAGATTATCTGATTTCAGAAGATTTTTCACAGTTTTCTATACAGAACAGGTAACCGACTTTACTTGTGTCTTCTTTAATATTTAGTTTCTTAGAGGCAACCTGAATGTACCCTACACATGWAAATCTCTTCTAAGAAACTCATCAAAATTAAATTATTTTGAATCCAAATTATCCTACACAAAAACTCAGTTATGTGGACATATTATTCATGGATGTTTCCCATCTGGGAGAAAACTGATAGAATCTGACCTTCAAGACCCCAATGATGTTGACGGTGTGTGTGTGTGTGTGTGTGTGTGTGTGTGTGTGTGTGTGTGTGTGTGTGTGTGTGTGTGTGTTCTAGGTTCAGATACTCCCAGTATAGTAATATATCACAGATTGTAGTAAAGCCACAGCAGAACACTCAAGAAGACATGAAAACATACAGATAATAAATCAGTGGACATACCAGGTACGATAAAGCAGAGCATGACATCATTCTGAGCCCTGGTTACATGGACCAGTGTGGATCCTTCCAGAACAACATAAACCTCAGCATCTTCTGGCACCGACTCCAAGCCCTCCAGTAGAGCAAATACCTTCGCCTCACCCTGAGACACAGAGAGGTGAAGGAAAACAAAAACAAAACAAAAAAACATCTTAGGCTTATTTGAAGTCCAGACTTTTACTTTTTCCGACGCAGCCTTCTAAAGTTCTGTCAGGTACACCAAATCCCCTAACAGCATTCCTCGGGGGTACCGTAAAATATCCCCCCGTGCAATAAAACTGGAAGGCCTCAAAGTGTTTGGTGCAAATACCTGCTCAGATCCCAATAAGCCAGAACTTTTTTAACTTTTCATCTGAGGCAACAGAAAGTGKAAGGTACTTGTTTTTTTATGCTTGCACCAAAATAACAGAAACGAGAATGTATTAAATTACACAAAGAACAAATTATCCTATTAGGAGATAAAAGTGATTTCAGTGTGTCAGTTCAAGGTCATTATAAATCCTGAAGCTGAGCGGTGGATAATTATCTGCAACAAAGGGGACTGAAGCCATACAGACACAAAAATATCACCAAAAAAAATATCTGTGTGATTCACGTTAGAATGCAAAACAGAGCAAATTCTTAACATTTTAAATATAACAAAAGTTCAAAGTTGTTGATAAGCCAACAACCTACAAACCTACAGGAGAAATATAATAAAACAATAATGACTGTAATTTTTAGATAGTTCTGAACTTAATTTACCAGTTGCTTACTTAAACTTTAAAAGGATCCCTGATTAGTTGTATCCTTAGACTTTATTTGATAAACATATGTTTTAACTGGAAAATAAAGGTTGTAAAAATACTGTAGGCTGTTAAGTTTTGTAAATTTTTAAAAAACATATTTTGCACAGACAGGGCCATTTTATTTACGCATAAAGCATTCTGGGTAAATGATGAAGTTGATAGGTCCTCGATGTAAGCGAGCTATATCCACCCTGAAGGTTAATCTTGGACAATATCTGATGATCGG